AGCATTATCAAATAGTTCAGAAGAACCTCAACTTGATGAAGAACAAAAAAAATGGTTTGTAAATTATTATTATTATTATTTTTTTATAAGGAAAAATTTTAATCATTATTTATTATAATTTTATGTTTAATATATTTATAATTTATATATGTTACAATATATTTATAATTTGTATGTTTTAATATATTTAATATGTTTATAATATTTATAATATAAATAATTATTTTCAGGTTATCAGAATTAACTGTCGATATTGTAACAGGAGTTTTATTCAGTGGTAGACCAGTTACTACAATGTCACAACCTTTGGCTGTTTATTTGAACAAAATTGGTGATGTGGCAATCGCTAATAAAACGATCTTGGATTAGATAAATGAAATTTCTTTAAATGTGAATTTTCTTTGCTTAAATCAAATAATTCAAGCCTTTATTTATTTTTCTTCATACTAACAATTATTTAAAAGCTAAATGTATATCTTATAATTTTAGTGATATTTTTTATTCTAATTAATTAATTAGTTAGAAAGTTAATAAAAATAAATATTTAAATATTTAATCTTATCCATGAAAAAAAAAACAAATGATGTTATTTTGTTTAATAGCAGCAAAGTGCCACAAACAGACTCTAGGGGATCAAGATACCAAAGTTATACTGTGAGACCCCACCACATTTTTTTCGTGATTTATGAAGGTAAAATGCATCACTCACAACTTGATATTCATGGTGACGAAAAATTAGGTATACTTATTTAAAGTCACAATTCCAGGTAGTGGTGTAACACTGGTAAAATCTCTAATTAATTGAATAAATCAAGTTCTAAAAAAAAGCAATTATAAAAAGAAAAACTATCATTACAAATCGCTATTTTTATTATGATTGATTATGTATGATAAACCAGCAAGATTAATTATAAATGCATGTATTTAGCATTATATTATCATTTGAATACAATTTAGAAATTAACCATATCATCATGCTCCCGTTTAAAGCAAGCATCACATACCTTGGAATTAAGAAACGAGGAATAGATTGTCATTATGTGATCAATCCTACCAGCTCAATCGTAATCGACAATTTTAATGTTTTAACCCATCGTTGTTATCCTTCACAAATCTCGCACCATGCATCTTTCTAACAACCTCTTTCCAAGCATTTTTTTTTTCTTGATTTCTGTAGGTTCATGTAGAGACAAATGTTCATAATCGCTATTAGTGAAAACTAAAGAGTTTCGCAACTGTGCGAAAGTCAAAAGGTTTCGCCCACAAGTCGAAACTAGTTTTGACTTTTGATTCGGTTTTGACATATAACTCTTAATTTTACTTTCGCCCCTTCAAAATAGTTTTGGCAATCGCTATCTAAAACCTCCATAACAACCATATACCATCCTCCCAGAACATTCTTATAACCAAAAAGGTAAGGGACAATGCCCAAAACTGCGTAGAATTTGTGCGCATCTATTCGATATCGCTCCGCAAACTTCACAAGTAGTTACCTTGGGACATCGTTATTGCTTTCTTGTTCAACAACAAACAGTAATTTGTGTTTGTACAGTTGCTTGAGTAGCAAAATTGAATACTTGTTAAAGTGTGAAATCGACAAAATTAAACCGGTACAACGTCAATTGATATTTTTGGTTGAATTCTTTATTTTTTTGTATGTAATTTTGATACTGTTTTTTGATAAAAAGGATTTTTTATAAAAGTTTCATTCATTTTAAAAAAAATCCATACCACACCATATTAAATAATATTTAAAAAAATAAATTTTGTCATCGATATTCAATTCTAATTGCTTCATTAAAGCAGTCGCTGCAATTGTCAATAGTATATCTGGCACTGCGATATATAGAACAGCAATAGGCGGTTTCGTGGAATTGTTTGTTTAAGGGATTTTTTAATAACAATAAAGATAAGAACATCACCAATTTTAACGAAAAACCTTTAATTGTTCTAATTGGTCGTTTTTGAAATTTTTTGTTTACATTAACTAAATGTTTTTAAAATTTTAGCTACATTTAACTCAAACAATTATCGTTAATGACAATGAGGGGTTTTCCAAAGAAGACTTTCCAATAGATCAAAGTCAAATTTTGATATTTTCTGGTGTGGTGCAAAACAATTCTTATGTTAAAGACAACACAAGAGACAATTTAATTGTCAAACGAAGAATCTATAATATAACTACCAAAAACTCGACTGATTCCAGCATATATGTTTCTTATGAACATAATAATAGATATTTAACACATTCTTAATTTAGTTTTTTTATTATCTGTTATAAAAAGCTCACACACGATGCTCAGTTAAATAGTAATAGTATTTTTGACCCATCACATACGATGGGAAGACTTGGTAGACAAAGTAAAGAGTATATAACGAAAAAAATTTTTTATTGGTTTTAAAGGAAAATGGTTTTTATGAAATGCAAAGTATTGGTAAGATATCATCGGTAAAAAAAAAATTATTTATTAAAAAAATTATATGTTTACTGTGTGATAAATTTAATCATCTTTACGGATTGTTAAAAAATTGATCAGCGGCTGCCTCGGATTATTATAATTAACGTACAAGTAAGGTCGGCAATTGTTGTATCCACTACCAGCTTAAAGGCATGACAATCCAAAGGGGTCAATCGTGAAATTCATGGTGTGCGAGCATATTCTAACACAATTTGTCGCGATCTTAATGCTGCGTTGAACATCCTTCAAATGTTTTTGGCAATGGCATGAGCCGAATATTTTTAAAAGAAATAACAGAAACATAATGACCATTTCCGGTTTACATAAGGAATGACAGCTGTATATAACAAGAAACACTTTTGATAAATCTTTTAAATAATAAACTCTTTTAAGTAAAACTCTTTTAAATACTTTAAATATTTTAAATTATTTTACAGTACAATATTTAAAATATTGATTAAGAAAAAATTTTTTTTCATTAAGGTTTAATAACATAATTCTAAAGTGTTAATGAAAGTGAGAGGAATAAAGATGCTAGTTCACGTGAGGATGAAAATTGATCTATTTGTGATTGGTAAGTTGTCAGATGGCCCATACACAATTGGAACAACGCCTACTAAATATGCATTTAATAATAAAAAGAATAATAGTAGTAATAGTGAAAGTTAGACTTTTATATGTATTTTTCTTTTTATTAATTTTCTTTTTATTGTTTAATCCATTGTCCGTAAAAAAAAATTTATTAATTCCAAGCCATGTGTCCACTAATTTATCATTGTTTATAAAAAACAAAATTACGATCTAAATCAATAAAAATTAATTTTAAAAATGACAACCAAAGAAGAAATTAAAGAAAAATTAAACATTGGGATGTTGAAGGAGGTGAAGGGGAAATTGAAGAAGTTTAAAGAAGGGGAGGATGATGGGCAATGGTTGAAGAAGTTGAGGAGTAAGACAAGAAGTAGCAATCTTAGTGAAACAGAGGAGCAAGAGAAGGCGAGGCTGGAGGAAGAAGAGAAGAGGTTGAAAAAAAAAGAGGAGAGGTGGGGAAACGAAGTAGTAGAATGGAATAAAAGGTTGCGTGAATTCAACGAAGAAAAAGGTAATGAACAAATTGCGTAAAAAAATATACAAAAAATTATTTTTCGTTCTTTCCATTTATTTTACACTTTTTCCTTCAATAATTCAATTTCGATACTTTTTCATTCTTTAATCGGTGAAGGCAAGTACTTTTATACACCGGATATGGTGTTAATTTGTTTGTCTCTATATATGTTCTTTTAGTACTTAATAATCTCTCCCTTGCACAAGCCTCTCAAAAATATGTCATTACTCCTAAATTTATTTTGTCTTGGATTCAAAAATATAGAAGACCAACTAATGAAGTTCCTCCGAAGGTAAATTAATGCAGTATTGCATATTGATATCCTAATTTATTTACTTACCATGTTTTGTGTTCCTACTATTCCAGCTTATAGCCACATATGGAAATAATTTCAAGTTTCTTGGTAAAGAAGAAACAACAGAACAGCTTTTGAATGGAACCTTAAATAAAAATGGTATTATAAAACGTTATTATGCACATCGGAATAAATTAAGGATCGTAATTTTCACCCAATTCCGTTTATTGCAGCAGGACCTGGGTACTGGGAAAACTTGGGTATTAGAAGAAAGTTTGAATATGTTGAAAAAATGTGTAGAAAAGATGATGATGTTGATTTAAAAGAACTGGTATATAATGCTGTGCTGATTGATGCTACATATGGGAATGGTTGTGCTGCTTCTGCAACAGATAGTAATATTGGTGGTGAAACAAGTTTGTCATTAAGGGTTCTCTATCGATATTTTGTGGAAGGATATCCTAATTTAGAATTTTCTGGTTTTGTTGATATCATAAAAAATACCTTTCTCAATGTTGGTGACTTTGGTCTTGAAAATGTACTCAATGCCATTGCATTGGACATTAAGAGAGAAAAGATAATGATTATTAACTGTATAGATGAAGTCAACAAATTATATGGATTAGATGATTCAACTTTTAAGACTATGGTAAATGCTGTTGGTTCTTGTAGTTGTGCATTGAGTTCAATATTTTATGTTCCCCTACTTGCTGGAACTATTTCCAAGCCTTTGCAGAATATTGTCACAAAATCCACACACCCACCTTTACCTATTTCTCTTCCACTATTAAGGATGGACCACATGTTAGAAATTGGACAAGGATTGCAATTTCCAGTTGAAACAAACAGTCATTTTCATCGATGCCTTGGTGATATTGGTGGACATTGTTGAGCATTAGAATTCTTTTATCAACAATGCTCTGAATATGTAGTTAATGCTGTTGATTTTTTACAAGTTATGACTGATGTTTGTGTATTATTAAATGAACATTATGAACTTGAGGAATTCACTCATGATAATTCTGATATTATTGCTGGTTGTCTGCTGGATGAAATGATGATTCTTGATGAAAGAATAAAGGAGCTAAAGCAATATGGAATTGTAGTTTTAGAGGAGGCTCATAGTTATCCTGGACATGTATATTTGCGTTTGCAATATATCATGCTTTGGTGCATGACTAGAGTATCAAACAAGTCAAATAAATTATACCAATTATGGAAACCAATGATTGAATCTGATGAATTATTTCTATGGCAAAACTGGGAAGATTTTAATGTTAGATTTTTGGCATTAAAGTTTTGCTTACTCTCTGTTTATGGTTATAAAGAAATTAAAGCATGTGATTTTTTAAAAAATGCATATTGTGGTGATATGATTAAAAACATCACCATAAAGATTCCAGATTGGAAAGATGTTGAAGTTCATTTCATAAAAGAAAGATTTCCAGGGAATGGTTCTTGGACAGTCACAGATATATATTCCAATGAGAAGCTTTTCATAAAAGAAAAAAAACTTACAGTTTATAAAAATGGAGAATCAGCACCATTTGATAGGTTTAGTTATATCAACTTAAAACTACCAATAACAAAGATGCAATTATGGCTTGTTTACAGACTAAATGGAGAAAATTAGAAACTGCACACCCCAGAAGATTACAGCTAATATGATTACCAAAGAATATGAATCTACAAAAAAGACACTTATTGATAAGCTTAGCCTTCAAGATGATGATTTTATTTTTATTTTATTATCAATATGTCCACTGAGTGAAGAAATTGATCTTGAGACTATGTCTAAAGATGTTAAAAATGCTGCTTTAATATGTAAGAATAATTTTTGTGACTTTTATGGTTTTACTTATGCTACACGAGCTCAATTTGCAGCAGGTTGGTTAACAAAAAAGATTCTTTTTGACTTTTCTTTCAAATGCATGGTTAATAATTTATTTAATTTATACTGATAATAGCACAGGGAAAAATTAATGTTAATACAGCTAAATTTTGGGAATTAAGATTAATAAATGGAGTTGGTGAAATTTTAGCAAATGATATTGTTGAAAAATGTAAAAGAGATCATTTTGTTGAAGAAGATGATTTATGTAGACGCACAAAGTTTCCAAAACATGCTGCGTCATTGGTTAAATTTAAATGATTTTTTATTAAAAAGATAAAATTACTACTATAGATTCACAAAATAAATAAATATTGTTTAATGAATGTTTGTATTTGTAAATAAAGAATTTAAAAAGATATAGATTCTTCCAGAGAAGACAACATTCTGATCAAATTGAAAATGCATGCATAATGTCAAGTGGTCCAACAAAAGAAAATAATAAAAATTTTGCACACTTTGTTCTATTGCAATTGTAGTTTTATCTTCCATCATTAAATTCCTAGGCTTTGTACTATTCCAAAATGTTTTTTACATGATGGACAAATTTTGCCATTAGACATGCATAAGTCTCATTTTCTTCATATGATTCATGCTGCAAACTAAAAAATTTTTTGTCTATAATCCAATAATGACTTGTGATATATTAATTGTAAAAACCCACAAAGTGAACATAAAATTATAAAATTATATATATAGGGATAAGTGTATGAAAAGTAATAATCATGATGGTTCTAATGAACATCAAAAT